AAAAAATTCGACGCCTATTCACACAACAGTTAGAAGAAAAAAAAGGGAGAAATGATACTGTATTTGATTAGGTGAAAACAAAGTTTTGTTTTAAACTTTCATTTCCTATCAGGTTTATGTCAGTGACACTTGTACACTATAAAACCAGCTTCCACAGATAGACCTGTCGTGAGATACACTGGATTGTGAAGGAGTCGATGATGAGGGAAGGTTGAATATTACTTCAGTCTATTAGCTCCAGATTAGGGACGGCTGTGCACAGAGAACTCTCGTGGGTGATCGAGCGATAATTCTATGACAAACACTAAATGCTCGTTCACTTAGAAGTAAGATTTTTTCAATTACAGTTACTTGCTGATGCAATGTTGATTAGCGATAGACTGCATTTCAAAAGGCTCATTATTCTTACTGCATTTTCTATATTTTGGTATCTTTTTCACAACATGGCTTCATTTTTTAGAGGATATTTACTTCAATAGGCAAGAAATAATTAGCCAGTTTATTCTGACAGCGCCCTTTTGACGTGGCTATGTATTTATTGATAATTATAAACATTTCAAAGGAAGACATAGTAAACTTTCTATTTTATAGATCGACCTTCGACCCATTATTTTCATTGTTCGAAGTTCAACTCCGCGAGACACAAGTCATAGGTTGGATTTATACTTCTGTTACCGTGAATGTCTAACAAGAATATCATTGAGTAACAAGACAACCTAATAATAAAGTGTATATTGAGTACGATATTAGAAAAATATACGTAATTACATTTTCTATATAATCTTTCAATGAACTTTGTATATAATTCCAGCGGTATATCAAACTGAAGGACTTCTATTTGTAACATTATTTGACTTGGATCAAGTACACTGCTGGACTTTCATGATAGCTCTGCAGCAAGGACCAACACATTATTTGATTTAGATCAAGTACACTGCTGGACTTCCATGACAGTTCTGCAGCAAGGACCAACACATTATTTGATTTAGATCAAGTACACTGCTGGACTTTCATGACAGTTCTGCAGCAAGGACCAACACATTATTTGATTTAGATCAAGTACACTGCTGGACTTTCATGACAGTTCTGCAGCAAGGACCAACACATTATTTGATTTAGAT